TAAATATATCCTTTTCTCCTGTATTCTGGCAGAATATACATGACACGCCGAGAGACAGAGATAGAGAGAGGAAGAGGAATCTAGTGCTGCGTGTCATCTCAGTAATGGACCACAAAAAGCTGTCAGTCCTACAGAGTGAATGAGAGGGAAAGGGACAAAAAATAAGAGATCTAATCCTGTGTGTAATACAATGAGTCATCTAAAATCCTGAGTGTCATACATGACAGTAATGAGCTATACCTTTGTTCCATATGGCAGGTAATGTTTTTTCCCAGCTTACTTTTGAGTTTCCTTATGAAATCTACTTCAGCTAGTAACAAACTGGTCAACTCATGCTATTTGGAAATGTCTTGGTGTCCTCACAAATGACGGCAAAAACAACATGCTAAAAGATCTCTCAACTATATTCTGCTAACTTCACCACTAACGAATGCTATCTTTACATCAGTGAAACATATAAAATAATGTACAGTCATCGAATCGTTATCACAAAATAAACTCTGACAGGGTGATCGGGACATTAGAAGAGTCTTGTATCATCCTGAAGGGGTTTGTTTTGTGATAATGACGGGATTTGCTTCAGCTGAAATTACGTGCAAAAAAGAAACTACAGAAACAATGTATGAAATCAACTGCTTGGGACAATGGTCAATTGTACAGTTTAGCAGTCATAATTTACTTATATTTATGCATATAGCAACAGCTTCAAATCTAAAAAGTGCATCTAACCCTTAACTATTTTGAAAACCAGCCTTTTAAAAATAGCTTGTAAACCTTTCTTTATGCTATATTATCACCAAATCTTGGATTGAATCATTTTGTCAACATGTTTTCTTTCAATTATGACAGATTTTGTATTTCTTTTTTAGAACTGATTGGTTGTGGGCCTCATTGATCTGAGCTCACTTCTTGAGTAAAAAAAAAGAAAAAGTAATTCATTCTTTGAGGATAATTTTGGCAATGTTCACTCAAAAACATGAGGTGCATGAGCTCAGATCAATGAGGCATAACACATTATGACATAATAATACAGCATAACCAGAAATGTAAAATCAATTTTTAAATGACCTGTTATTTTTGACCAGGAACACCATAAGTGTAACAAGAGGGGAAAAACTGGTAACACTTCTTGTTATACCCTGTGAGCAAAGTCAGCAAGCTTTAGTCCAATGTAATAACATTAACTAGCATTTCCATAAAAAAAACAAAGGAAATCCTCTCCGGGTCAAAATGTTTGTACATAAATGTATCAAATTTCTTGGAAACTGTAAAAAGTCAGGCTAATGAACTATATTACTCAAAGAATTGTTGATTGCTATCATTATTATCAACAAATTAACTATTTATTGAGTGGATTATACGTTTTTGAAAACTGCAGTTCACAAATACTATTTGTTTTTGTGCAGTGTGTTTCAGATCGTGCGCCCTTTCACAGGTTACTGGGGAGAAGTCGTCCTCCTTTGAGCCTTGACTCCCAAATTTCTTTTACTTCCAGAGGGTATTACCTGCCACTGTTGCTTTGTGCTGGCTCAAGGGATCTAAGCTTGACTCCTATAAAACTGCATAAGAACAATCTCCACAGTTCAGTTGCCTACATGGGCAGCAATTTAAGGCATTATAGTCATGATTAAAACACAAAGGCTGTTCCAAAACGTTGGTAGCAATCCCATAATGCAATGTGTCAATGTGACTATTTTAATACATGTGTACTACATACACTACCATTCAAAAGTTTGGGGTCGGTAAGATATTTTAATGTTGCTGCAACTATAGAGTGTTCCAAATTAGTCACTTATGAGATTCCATCTCAGTTAGGATGCTGTCTATGTAGGCAATAGAAAGCAAGGCAGCTCACTAGGTTTTGATAGTGATTCACTGTGGTGTTATGGTGTAATGACATCAATCCCACCTTTCTCTCTCTTCCTTCATCCTCTCCAACTCTTCCTCACTCAGAATTTCTGACGTCTGCTTCTGCGCATTCATTTTTGTCTCCGTCTTGCTCTTCTCTTCTTTTTTCTTTCCAAATCTGAGAGAGAGAGAGAGAGGGGCATAGAAAGACATCACTGAGTGATCACTGTTTGCAAATGACGTTTATCTAGGAAAACAGGCTGAGTGACTGTCTAGTGTGTGTGTGTGTGTGTGTGTACTCTGGGGAGTTCCTAAATTGCTGTAGGGGCCAGAGCGTATCAGTAGAGATGTTCTGTTAACATGCATCATTTCTGCACCAGTGATTGAGTCCTGCACCCGTCTCCATTTTCTCTGCTCATAGAAGGTCATTTCTCATGTGTGCCTGTGTCTCAAACCCACTGCCGCCCAGCCGAGCAGCACAGCACGCCGCTTCAGCGCAGTGTATCAATGTCAGAGCGAGCAGAGGCCATGGCCTCCCTCTTCCTCACTCAGAATTTCTGACGTCTGCTTCTGCGCATTCATTTTTGTCTCCGTCTTGCTCTTCTCTTCTTTTTTCTTTCCAAATCTGAGAGAGAGAGAGAGAGGGGCATAGAAAGACATCACTGAGTGATCACTGTTTGCAAATGACGTTTATCTAGGAAAACAGGCTGAGTGACTGTCTAGTGTGTGTGTGTGTGTGTGTGTACTCTGGGGAGTTCCTAAATTGCTGTAGGGGCCAGAGCGTATCAGTAGAGATGTTCTGTTAACATGCATCATTTCTGCACCAGTGATTGAGTCCTGCACCCGTCTCCATTTTCTCTGCTCATAGAAGGTCATTTCTCATGTGTGCCTGTGTCTCAAACCCACTGCCGCCCAGCCGAGCAGCACAGCACGCCGCTTCAGCGCAGTGTATCAATGTCAGAGCGAGCAGAGGCCATGGCCTCCAGCTACACGCGCACAAACACACACCGGGACTCCTCTAAGCACACACACACACTGTCAGTGGAAATCACACCAGTGTCCTTTAGCAACTCACATCCGGCGCACACTCAAACACAGGGACAGGATCTGATCTAGATTATCTTCACATGAATCTCACACATCTGCACACAATGATCATGATGTGAACATGTCTCTCATATACTCAATAACAGTAAGGGAGAACATGAGCTGTACAGAGTCCTACACAGCACTGCAGGTGGCACTTATACACACCATGATATCACTTCAACATAATCACAGGCTCTCAGCTACTGAGAAAAATAAAGATAAAAACACATAATTACAAAAAAGATTCAGCATGTAAGACATTCCATATACTGTTGGCAATCTAAAAAAGGCATTAATGAATGAATAAGGACACAAAGGAAGGCACAAATAAATGATAAATGAATGTATGAAGTAAAATCAAGAACAAATGAATGAAACAAAAGAACAAACTAACAAACAAACAAATATGAAGGAATCACTGAACAAATTAACTGACAGAGGTATCTAATGAATGAATGAACGAATAGGGAATCAATGAATGAACAAAAACATGAAGTATCAATTAATTATTAAAAGGAACCAACAAACAAATTAACAAAGACAAATGAATATGAAGGAAACGCTGAACAAATTAACAAAATAATACTTTTAAGAAAACAATGAATGAACAAATGAATGAATGAACGACTTAACTAACAAATTAAGGAAACATCAAATGAATCAAGAAACCAAAGAAATAATCAAACTAGCAAACAAATAAATGACAGAAGGAACTAATGAAGGAAAAACTGACCGAATGAATGACTGACTGACTAAATGAAAACAATGAATGAAAAAACAAACGATGGTATCAATTAGGGCTGTGCGATTAATCCAAATCGAATCGAAATCGCGATTTGAGACGTTGCGATTTCCTAATCGCAAAGCCTGCGATGTGGACGCGATATTACTCTGTTCCAGAGCATATGCATGACTGCCAGCCTTGAGTTGCAATCTTACTTTCCCTGAGCAAGAGTGAGCGCACCT